GTCGTCCTTGTCTTTGTCTTCCTTCACTGTGCTTAGCATTGTTCTTTTCAGTACTTGGCACTCAAGGTACGTTGGCTAAATAAACGTGGCACATTTATCTGGCTTCCAAGTTGGGGTCAAATTGGAAATGTCCAAGAGAGACTTCTGTAGACACCCTGCCAGCACTGAGGAATGATAGTTGATCATGGATGAGAAAACTGTTCATTAGCAAACCCGAGAATATAAAACTCTGAAAAAAATAGGGGTGTGTGTGTGTAGTGTCAGTCTATGGATCTGGATTGATGGGAGCTGGTTCATGATTAATCTTAACTGCAAAGTTAAGCAAATGAGAAAATTTGAAAATAGAATCATGTAGTCTAAAAAAGGTAAATTTATAGAAGCAGAAGTAAAAATGGTGAAGAGAGGATGGGTAGGAGAAGGAAGTTAGGGAAATGTTGGTCAGAAGTTTTACATATTCAGTTTGACAAGATGAATAACTTCAAGAGATCCGTTGTGTGATATGGTGACTATAGTTAATGACGGAGTATTTATACGTAAATTGCTAAAAGTAGATATAAAGTGTTCTCACCACAAAAATAAGCATGTGAAGTAATGCATACGTGAATTAGCTTGAGTTAGCCATTCCACAACATACACGTCTTTATGTATGTGGGGCATAGTAATACACTACTTTTATTTGTCAACTTAAAAAGATTGAAATGGATGCTATAATTAGGCCAAGCATGATGAGCAGAGTTGGTTCTCTGCCGCCTATTATACTTAATTTAATATGTGGCCTGCCTGAAAATCCAGTCAGATACTGGATGAGTCTTCATACTTTGTTTCACTCTCTTTTATGAGAAGATACATTAATAACAGCAAAGGAAAAATTATTAGAATTTTCTGCACTTGTAGAGTCTAAGTTGAGTGTTTCTTACCCAAAATTCTTGGGACCAGAAATATTTTGAGGTTTTGGATTTTTTTTTTTTTGAAGTTTTTGCATTTCTCCTTACTTGGTTTATCAGACCTAATCTGAAAATCTGAAACCCAGGGTGCTCCAGGGAGTATTTCCTTTGAACATCATGTTGGCTCTCAGAAATTTTCAGATTTTGCACCTGGAGTTTATATTTTCAGATTAGGGATACTCAATCTGTAAATAGACTTTTCTGAGATTTGTTGAAAAAAATCTTATACAGATAAACACTCTAAGCTATAGTATATGAGAATAACCTGTCCTTTTTGTATTATAGCTTGGCATAGAAGCAAATATTTGTAGTGATCACTTTAAACTTATCAAAGAAAATACAAATTTTAAGTATATATTCTGTTTAAGGACGTAGGTATAATACATTTCTGAAATATTACCACCTAAACTAGATGCCTAGGCATGAGATTACTGAATAAGTCTGAATAATTCATTATTCAAGAATTATCAACAGCTGGTTTGCTGTATTTTGCAGGTTTTTGCAGGTTTTTGTTGTTTTGGGGGGGCGGGGCCAGGTTTGAACCCACCACTGTCGGTATGTGGGACCAGCGCCCTACTCCTTTGAGCCACAGGCTCTCCCCACAGTTTGCTGTATTTTGTAACATGATATTCTTATAAATACACTGTTTTAGACATTTGTTTACAGTTCCAGGGACATAGATGCTGTAGTATCTAATCATAACACTAGGTGGTGATAATTGATTTTAGAAATTGTGAAAATGTTTCCCGACTTCTATATTCTTCTTTTAATATGAAAACGTTGAGTTCTGCTTACATGTCAGAATGAAAGGAAAAGAAACGTTTACAAAGCTGTAAAGAATCCATTTCTACCTATTTGAGCTGTTTTCTTCTCCCATTCTTTCTTTGAATGCTCTACTCCAAAGATTTTCAGATTTTTTAATTTTATGCCCTTTACATTTTTAAAAATTGAGGATCCTGGGGATTTTACTTATATGAATAATAAGTAATGATTAATATTTTTCATATTGGAGATTGCGAAATTTTAAAATATCTATTCACTTCAAAATAACAATAAGTATAAGAAAATACAATAGGTATAAAAAAAATGTCAGTCTAAGTGTTCATGGATGGATGGATGGATCAAGAAAATGTATATATATAAGGGCTTTCTGAAAAGTAGCCTCGAATCTATTTTTTCATGGCTAGATATTTTCCAGATAGCTCTCATATATGATGGAAAACAATTCATTCACAAAAAAGGGTGCAGCTGTGTCATTCGCAGCAGCATGAATGGAGCTGGAAGTTATTATCTTCAGTGAAATAATTCAGGCACACAAAAACAAACGTGGGAACTAAAAAATCATGTGGAGGTCAAGATTGGAAAGCTAGATGACAGATTGGGACAGGTGAGTGACAGGGGATGAGATGAGGAGAAGGAGCTGAAAGAGGACAAAAATGCACTGAGACAGAAGGAATAATTCCGTGTTGGGTAGAGTGGAGTGGCATACTTAATAAAAATAGATTCAGGTGGTGGATACCCTGAGTACCCTGACTTGATCACTATCATTATATGCATATAGCAAAATTTCTCATGTACTCCACAAATTTGTACAAATAAACAATAAAATAAATAATATGCCCATTTACATATTAATATAAATGTTTTTATAAAAAAGTAATTATTCCCAAACCCCCCCCTCAAATTAAGGAGAGTTACATGGTTTTACATTTTTACAAGTCCCTTTAATGTCTAACTTATTAGTAGACAGCTAGGTGTCTATATCTGCTTTAGACTGTTGCAGTGTAACACATCACTTAACCTCTGTAAAACTCTGCTGTACACTCATAAGGGAGTAAAAGAGGCAATTAATGTCTTTTTATGAAAGCCATTTTCGGCTCAGCGCCTGTGGCTCAAGTTGCTAAGGCGCCAGCCATATACACCTAAGGTGGTGGGTTCGAATCCAGCCCGGGCCCACCAAAACAACAATGACAGCTGCAACAACAACAAAAAAATAATAATAGCCGGGCGTTGTGGCAGGCGCCTGTGGTCCCAGCTACTTGGGAGGCTGAGGCAGGAGACTTGCTTGAGCCCAGGAGTTGGAGGTTGCTGTGAGCTGTGACGCCATAGCACTCTACCCAGGGGGAAAGCTTGAGGCTCTGTCTCAAAAAAAAAAAAGAAAGAAAGCCATTTTCAGCTCTGTGCCTGAAGCACAGTGGTTATGGCACCACCCACATACACCAAGGATGGCAGGTTTAAACCTGGCCCAGGCCAACTAAACAAGTGCAACAAAAGAGAATAGCTGGTGCTGTGGCAGGCACCTGTAGTTCCCAGCTATTTGGGAGGCTGAGGCAAGAGAATTGCTTAAGCCCAAGAGTTTGAGGTTGCTGTGAGCTGTGACGCTACAGCACCCTACAGAGGGCGACATAGTGAGACTCTGTTTTAAAAAAAAGAAAGCCATTTTCATCTCACACCATCTCTGAAAGGATCCTGTGGACCTTGAAAAGTCCTAAATCATAATTTAAGAACCATTTCTCTAACCCTACTTGCCTGGAAGAAGCTAGTAATGAAATATAAAATACGTGTCTCCTATTAATTTTGGATTTACAAGTGTTAAATCACCAGCTCTTGATTTATACCATCTAGATATACCTAAGAATACACAGTAAAATTTTTACAAACAAAATGACTGAGTTAATATTCTCATCATGGGGCAGCGCCTGTGGCTCAAAGGAGTAGGGCACTGGCCCCATATACCAGAGGTGGTGGGTTCAAACCCAGCCGAAGCCAAAAAGTGCAAAAAAGAGAAAATATATCCTAATAGAAAAAGGGACAAAACATGACCAGATGTCAAACAGGGTAGAAAATTATATATACATTGTGGTTATAGTAGATGTAATTTTTACTAGGAGAAAAGTACTTTTTAGGTATGTGTGTGGACCTAAATATATTATTGTAGTTAACACTACTGTTAGCTAAAGGCCATAAAAAGACATCATTATTATCACAGTTTCGTCTCTGTTGTGAAATGATCTCTGCATTCCCTGTGTTTTGTCTGTGGTGCTTATCCACAACTATGGCCTTAACTCACATCTTTGGGTTGCGGGTTTCCAAATCTCTGTATCCAACTTTGACCTTTACCGTCTATGTTCCTGAGCCTGCCTTCCAGTTCTTTGACCCTAAAGGCACCTCCATCCTGGCTTTTCTAAAACCAAGCTGGTCTCTCTTCACACGACTCTGGAACCTACTTCTTAGTTCTTTCTTTTAATCACTATGATCAGATGCCTGGTCTGGTAACCTTGAAGGAAACTCTGACACATTCTTTACTCCTAACACTGATTTTTCATACCTCTTTTGTTTTGAATATTCTTTCCATTCTCTCTCTGTCCCGGAGAACTCTCGCATACTTGCAGATGCCCCAGGATTCAACTTAAGCTTTCCCGAACACTGTAAGCAGATGCTCTCATGCGTGTGTGTTTGTGTGTACATGGAGAGAGAGCACACTGTTTTCATCTGTCTCCCTTGGTAAACTCTTAGCCTTTGTAAGGCAGAGAGTATTGTTTCTCCAGTCGTAATCACACTACCTTTAATTATTTACAGGAGAGAGGGATAGCATTAATTATCCATGTTTTAAGTATAATGCAAATAGCATCACTACTACCCAGTGGTATCATTTGTTTTTTCAAAGTCAATTCAAGTTAGACCTTTTCCGTGGGCATCATTAAGTGTGTTGTTATTCTTTTATTTTTGCCAGTAATTCTCTGGATTCTGGGAAGAAATTCTTTTATTAAAAAGTTAATTTTGAATACAAAGTTTTATAAATTTAATGTACATCTGAAATGTCATATTTACCCACCACAAACATAATGTAAATAGTATCTTATAACAAGTAGTACTATGATGACGACTTGATGTGATTTAATGATAAATACATGGTAAGTTTTGACGTATGGTTTGCGGTAAAAAATGTTTGATACAAATATGCATGTTTATAAACACATACACGTATAAGTTCTTTTCAGATTTATGTATGCTAATCCAATGCTAAGTTTGTTTTTTTTTTTTTATTTTTTGCAGAACTTCTTGGTATAAATGAACAAGCAGACGTAGGATTCTTAACACTAATGGAAGCTTTAAGATACTGTAAGGTAAATTGATTTCTAAGGTACTTTGAATAGTTTTTATTTACATGTCCACTATTGTGGATGTTATTTTTATATCCTATGACAGCATAGTTTAGTTTATGACTATACCAGTCTCTTCAGCTGCTTCCTCTTCTCCCACCCTAAACTGACCAGGGTTATTGAGGATGGTTCAGCTGGGTGATCGTGCCGAGTTCCTGTGCTGGGTCCATTGTGGGAGGGTGGGGGTGAGGGGCAGAGCCCAGTACAAAATAATACGTAAAAATAGAGACCTTATTGATTATAAATACACACTGAGAAGGAAGAAAGCACTGTTTCTTCATTAACGAAGAAAATGCTTCACTGAAATAACTGGTAATACTTTATCAGGCAGAGGGAGAGAATTTGCTGCATGGCTGAAATTCTTCCATTTATTCCATCTGAAAATGATTTTATGGTTAAAAAAAAAATGCAAGCCTTTTACGACATTAAGCTCTTTAACCTGTGTGCCAAGGTTAGGAACTGCCATTCAACTTCCAGTTATCACTATTTATTTATTTATCTTACTGACTCCTTATACAATCTGAAATAACCATCGGGCATTCCAAATAGTTTTCGGTGGGACTTAAATCTGACTGTACTGAATAAGATATCACGACTTTGGAGAAAGAAAGCCGCAGATTTAATTTTCTTTTTCCCTTTAGAATGATAGCTCCATGGCAGTGGTTGCAGTTCTGGGGGTGCTGATTGATTATTTTTAATAATAATAATAATAACACTGCTTTGTCCTCCCTCTCTTTTTTTCTTTCTTTCTTTTTTTTTTTTTTTTTAATTTTTTGGGTCAGACGTTTCTCTTTCATGATGACATGAAAGTGATGTGATGTGGCTGTGATAAGGATAGGTCCTGCCCTTACGTTAGTAATGATCATATTGTTAGGTAGTAGAAACTCTTATTTTTCATTTTTCCAATTATATGAATAAGCTTAAAACTGTTCTGAGATAGCCTGGCACTCAGAGAATCAAACTGTGTCCCCTTCTCCTAACACACACATACACACACGTTCATAGGTCCTCGAAGAGTAGTGTGTGTGCATGTGTGTTTTGCAGGAGGCCAGGGAGTGGAGATCTGATGTTTGAAAGTATTTCTCCTGTGTCCTAGAAGACCCCTGGTGGTCTGGGTCCCATCTCTCCAGGTACATTGCTCTCTGCACTGCTGTGCCCTAGTGGCACCGATGTCCTGTCACTGTCCGCAGCGTGCCTTGGTACTTGCTGTCCTTTCTGCCTGGAGTATTTCATCTCTTTACACAGACAGCTCCCGCTCCCTTTAGCTCACACTTCAGATTTTTCTTGACCAAGACCTCAGTTACTGTTTCACAATACTTTATAGGTGTATTACTCTGTAAGGACTCTGTTTACTTGTCTTTTTAAATTCTTGAATTTGTTTTTCTCTTGTCTTCCCTCTTTGAAAGCAGAGACATCGTCTTCTGGGTACACATAGGTGCTCCATAAATACTTGCTATAAAGTTTTCTAAGTGTGTGCCTTTGCCTTTCTTTGTTAGGTAGAACAGAGGAATATATTTTCCCCCCTCAGGATCTTAGTTCCTGCTAAATTCCTGCTAATAAGCTGCTGCATATTGTTCTATTTACACATTGTTCTCATGGTCTAGAATCTATCAGTTAATGATACTTTTAAAATACTGTTTAAAGATTCTTTTTTTTTTTTTTTTTTTTTTTTTTTTTGGCTGGGGCTGGGTTTGAACCCACCACCTCTGGCATATGAGGCCAGGGCCCTACTCCTTTCAGCCACAGGTGCCACCCTAAGGATTCCTGTAATGGTACAACCCAACACACCGCTATTTGGATAGCAGAAAGGTCAAATTCTGTTCTTACAATTTCAAGTAAGAGAGGTCTGCCAGGCAGACTCACTCAGGGATTGGCATCTGGGTACAGGGTAGCAGTAGCTTATGTGTGGCAGGTGAGATGGGCTGAGGTTTCCCAGGTTTCCTGGGATCCCTGTGGGTTAGCTAATTTGTAGAATTTTAGTGGCCTCTGGGGTTTAGGGGTAGTCCTTAGTTGTCTGGTACCTGACTGTAGGGCAGTTAGGGTGATAGCTGGAGTGTGGGAGACCTACAAAGGAAGTAGATGGGGTGTAAACTTGATCAGTTCTCTTTGTAAGGGAAACTGGCCTCTACCTAAGGCTTTAAAACTGAGTCAAGGCTGGACACAGTGGCTCACACCTATAATCCCAGCACTCTGGAAGGCCAAGGAGGGAGGATCCCTTGAGCTCAGGAGTTTGAGACCAGCCTGAGCAAGAGTGAAACTTTGTCTTTACTGAACAAAAAGAAAAAGTACCTGAGAGTGGTGGTGCATGCCTGTAGTCCCAGCTACTTAGGAGGCTGAGGCAGGAGGATCACTTGAGCCCAGAAATTTCAGGTTGCTGCAAGCGAGGCTGAGACCTTGGCACTCCAGCTTATGCAATAGAGTAAGACTCTGTCTCAAAAAGCAAAACAAAACACACAAAGCAAAAAAACCCTGAGTCAAGGCCGCCTTTTTTACAAAAGTATATTACCCTGTGGTATCATCTGTATATAAAACGTCTCAAATTCTGTGTACGTATTACGTTTGGTTTTTTGCCAGGTGTATTAAGGAAATAATTGTGCTTGTATAAATTTTGTAAATCTGAAAATCCTCTCATTCTTTGATAGTGTAGCCGATTGCCCTTTAAAAATGAAATTAACGTTTAACACATCCTGTTGACCATGTAGGCTCATTAGTACAAGAGAGGTGAGGCTCTTACTGGCACAGGCTCTATCCCCCTGCACCCTCCACACACAGCGAAGAAGGGGGGTGTGGTTGCTTTTGACTCTGCACTTCTTTAAAACTAGATTTATAACTCATGTGCCATAAAATTCACCGTTTTAAAGTATACAATTCACTGTTTTTAGTATATTCACAAAGCTGTGCAGACCCTAATTCCAGAATGCTTTCTCACCCACAGAAAGGCCTATAACCCCAATGGCAAGTGCTTTCCTGTCCTCCCCCACCCCTGGCAGCCACTGTCTATCTCTATGGTTTTGCCTTATCTGGACTTTTCATACAAATGGAATCTGAACAACATGTAGGCTTTTGGTTCTGGCTTCTTTCACTTAGCATGATGTTTTTAGTGTTCATCTGTGTTTTAACAGGTATTAGAACTTCATTCCTTTTCATGATCAAATAATATTCTGTTGTATGGTGTAACACCAGTTGTGTTGATCTGTTCATCCACTGGTGGGTGTTTGGATTCTTTCCACTTTTTAGCTGCATGAAGAATGCCTCTATGAACACCACGTACAAGTTCTTTGTCAACATATGTTTTCATTTCTTCGTGTATACCCAGGAGTGAAATTGCTTTGGCACATGCTGATTGTATTTTTAACTTTTTGAGGAACTGTCAAAACTGTTTGCTAAAGTGATTCCTGTGGATTTTTCAGGTCTCTTGTGTATAAAGGGAGGGACATGCCCTGCTCACCACTGAAATCCCTTCTACTCTGAAGCTGTGGTCAGAGCCTTCTCTTTCTTTGATTCTCCTCTGCTGTCCCCAGACTACTCGTCCTCCTCTCCTGGCTTCACGTGGCCATATTAGCACATCTAACCCATCCTTTCCCTCACAGGACAAACAGGCTGGGTTTTCTATCCGTGCATATAAATAAATAATTCCTATTTTCTGTTTCCCTTCTAGTGCTAATAAATTCCACAGGGCCAGGGTGGCGGGGGAAGCAGGGGCTGCTGACTGATTGACAAAGATGATTAGGCCCTGACCACTTCAACTTGGAATTTCTCACTTATGGACAGTCTGTGTGAAAAAAGAAAATTCAGCAAATTTGATGGATAAGATTAGTTGTTAAGTTTTCTGTCCTCCTAAGAAAGGAGAGTTGATGTTGAATTTTGTAAATGTGTTTTGTTTGTTGAGTATTAAGCTTTCTTTTTTTCAATTATGCATGTACAGAATGATGATCTCAACTTTTTGGCAATAGTATTTATAGGCCATATATGCTTGAAGGTTGCCTATAAGTATGGAATTGTATATCTTTTATTTTTTTTTTTTTTTATTTTTAGACAGATTCTCTCTCTGTTCCCCAGGCTAGAGTACAGTGGCATCAGCCTAGCTCACAGCAACCTCAGACTCCTGGGGTCAAGCGATCTTCCTGCCTCAGCTCCTGAACAGCTGGGACTATAGGTGCCTGCTACAAAAGCCTGGCTAATTTTTCTATTTACAGTAGAGACAGGGTCTTGCTGTTGCCCAGGCTGGTCTTTAACTCCTGAGCTCCCAGAGTGCTGGGATTACAAGTGTGAGCCACCTTACCAGCCTATATATATTTAAAAAAAAAACTCTCATGTTCCAAAATCTTGACCTTACAAGGAGTCAAATTAACAGAATTCTTTTATATTCTTAAGATTATAGTAACGCCATAGTTTGAGGGAAAAGATGTTGTCGCATCTTTTTCCTTCAATTATTTATTTATAAATCTACTCACTTGTTAATGTATAATGACTTTCCTTATGAGGTAATTATCAAGTTTATGGTTTCAAGGTTTGAGATACCAAGCTGCGATTCTAGAAGCGATCACTATAGCAAAGCCTGGGAGACTCGTAGGGTAAACTACTTGTTTCTAGAAATGTGAAATCTGTATTACTGTTACTCTGATGTCAGGGTGCAGCGTAAAGCTCAGTACGGACAGTCTTTATCACGTTGGTTTTGTGTTGAGCCTTTGATCTCCGGGTAAGGCACTCTGGCTCTATACATTGTTCATAGAATTAGACATTTCAGTTATGTTTCACATATTTGTGGGCAAACATTTAAGAGGCAGTAACATTTTTAATTTGTTTGTTTTATTTTGCTACATTTGTTCCAGGTTGGTTCTTACTTGAAATCTCCAAAATTCCCTATTTGGATTGTTGGCAGTGAAACTCACCTCACCGTGTTTTTTGCCAAGGTACGCTTACAGCAGGATTTTTGTGTGTTCATTTAAAATGACATCAGGCAAACGAGTAATAAAAGTCCATATTTAGTTTGGATCTTTGCGCAAACTGCAACTACTAACAAATGGTTTGTTCCAAAAATCTCAGAAATGATTACTAAAAAACATGTTGTTATACTGTTATTACGGAGAAAACAACTGACTTTAAAAGTTTTGGATTATTTTTTGTAAAGAGAATAAAAACTCAATTTACATGAATATTTCTAAAAAGAAAAACCCCAAAATATTTCTATATCTCAACCTTTATATATGGTATTGTTTTTCAAAATTGAGTGGTTGTGAAAGGCTGGCCCTGCCACTGCCTCGAACATCTCTCAGCCTTTCTTCCTGTGTCTTTAGAATGGGATTAATAATAGTTAGTAAAATTGGTGTCAGGCTTAAATATAAACTGTTCAGCAGTGCCCAGTGCATAGTAAGTGCTCGGTAAATCCCAGCTGTTACCATCGTCTTCATCATGGTCCTAGTTATTCTGCAGCAAACAGTCATTAAATATCTCCTGGTAGCACAGCTTGATAGGTTGCTGGGTGTTAAGAGTGAAGGGAGAAAATATAAAATTGTATTTTGCAGTTTCTTAGTTCTAATCACTTTCCCAATTACTCCATGAGCTTTTTAAGCATGTATTTGGCAAGGTAAGTTTGTTTCTGTAGAAAGTATAAATTATGTAAATTCTACCGAATTCACAACAGCAGAGCCATTTTATATTTATGCCTCCCAGCAATGCACAAGGGTTCCAGTTGCTCCATGTCTTTGCCAACACTTGATATTTTCTTATCACCGTCATCATCATCTTAGTGGGTACCAAGTGGGCAGTGTCGTTTGGTTTGCGTTTCTCTAATGACTGACGTGTCCCGCTTTCTATGTGTGTGTTGTCCAGTTCTGTGTGTATCTTTGGAGAAATGTCTTTTCAGATCCTTTGTCTGTGTTTCCCATTGGATGGTTCATTCGTCTTTTTGTTATTGAGTTGCAGGAGTTTTTAATACAACCTAGGTCCTGGACACGTCCGGTGTATTACACGTGTTTGTTTAATGTACTATCCGTTGCTCCTGGTGGTGAGCACTGTGGAGGCAGGATGTTTATCTCTTGAGTTTCCCAACACTTAGAGCAGTGCCAGGCACAGTGTTGATGCTCAAAGAATTTCTGTTGAGCACATAAATTATTGAAAATACTGAAAATTGAAGTTTCTAAGTCAAGAAATCACAAATTATAATCCGTATTATATCCTACATGGAAGGCAAATAGAAGAACCAGCTTTTACTTACACACCTGTGTTGTAGAAAGAAACAACATTGATGGGTGTTTGTGAATAAGCCTTGTCACACTGTAACCTGGATTTAGGATTTAGCTTCATGGTGTGAGGAGACATCGTATTTTTCCCATGCAGTGAAATAACCTTTTACCTGTTGTGTTTTTTCTTTTGTGATTAACAACTTACTTTTAGAACTCTTAAGTAATTAATTGTAGTTTTTTTCTTAAAGTGTTCTGATATATATAAGTTCATGATTTTAAATTTGAACAAAAAAATAATTTACAAAAAAAGTTATCACTTCATATTTGATACGTCCGGGACCCAGAAGTTACTTTTTTCATTTTATTGCACTTCTCTTTCTGACCTCTAGAGAATCACTGAACACATCTTATAGGACTGGAAGATGTTTTTCGCAAGTCATTTTCACTTGAACATCAACATAGTAATTCACTTTCATGATTAGGTTGTAAAACTTCAGATTGAGCATTTAAAAAGTATCTGTTTTTTTATGAAGAAGTATTTTTCCGGCTCGGCGCCTGTGGCTCAAGCGGCTAAGGCGCCAGCCACGTACACCTAAGGTGGCGGGTTCGAATCCCCAGCCCGGGCCCACCAAACAACAATGATGGCTGCAACCAAAAAATGGCCGGCGCTGTGGCGGGTGCCTGTGGTCCCAGCTACTTGGGAGGCTGAGGCAGGAGACTCCCTTGAGCCCAGGAGTTGGAGGTTGCTGTGAGCGTGATGCCATGGCACTCTACCCAGGGGGATAGCTTGAGGCTCCGTCTCAAAAAAAAAAAAAAAAAGAAGTATTTTTCCTAAAGTTTTCAGAGTTAACTATCTGGCTACCATGTTTTATAAATTTTCTTTTCTATCTTACATAGAGAAAATTCTCTCTCTCTCTCTCTCTCTCTCTCTTTTAAATCTTATTAAACATCTGTCTCTGTATACCACAAAACTGATATTGTACTCTCTGACATAGTATCTGAGGGGGTCTGACTGTGAGACATGCTTACAAGGCCGCCTGTGTAAGTGAGAGTTTAGGGTAGGTATTGAGGGGGAATATCACAGAATCTAAGTGTGGGAACCTTGTAGGAACTGCACAGTCACGGAGCAGCAGGGTTCCCACAGAGCTTCTAATGAGAGGAGATGGGCGAGGTGAAATGCTGTACCTAAATGAACCTCTTCAAAGCAGGAAACTTAACTCCCTCTAAGTAGGATGGAGAACTTTCCAAGCAGGTCATCTGAGCTATGGCAGAACAAAGATCTGTATGGAGAGAGAGGACATGCCCCATAGTTAGGGGTCTTCAGAAATCATACCTCGCACTTTAGATGAGGTTATTTGAAAACTTGGAAACCTATTGCACAGGTATAAGAAGTGTGTTTTAAAAAGTAGATGCTTAAAGATTTTAGAATCTATATTTAAACTTACTTTCCTTTTTGGATTGTTTTCCATTAATTTCAAAAGTAAAAGCTACCTCTTATTAAACCAAGGCTGCGTATCATGTTTTATATAATATCTGATTTTCCTCCAGCCTTTTCATAATAGTACATGTTCATAGACTTTAAGTGCCCAAATGTTAGGCCCTTTTTCTCTTTTTTTTTCTCTCAGACCATCACTCTCCCCTTTGATTTTTTGTTTTCCTTTTTCTATTTGGCTTTTAGAATAAATTATTTGGATCATTTTCTTATTTTTCCCTTGCAGTGGAAATTAGGAAGTTAGTTTTCAATGCAAATTCAAAACAAAGGCTTTAAATTAAAAAATATGATATTCAAAAATATTTCTAGTATTATATATAAAATGGTAGATGAAATAAATTTGCCTTTTTTATTTTTATTGTGCATTTGCATCTGAGTGTGGAGTGGCAGCTGCTGATTCAGTATTATAGTAGCTGGAGCCTACCTATGGCATCTAGTTTCATCTTTAGAATATCAGTGACTAATTTCCTAGGTAATCCATTACAAACTTTCTTTTGAAGTCCAGGAGATGAGTTTTACATATTCTCCTTTTGCTCTCTTTCATGGCTATAAAGGATTCTTTGTACATGTGTGCAAAACATCCCCTTTGACCTTTCCTATGATAAGGCAGTTTTCTTTTCTTAAGAACACAAGAAAACACATTACAGTACTGTTGAAATGCAGAACACATAAAGAAACTGAACTTAAAGCTAAGGAGAAACAAAACATTTAACTGTCCCTGCAGGGGCCTGTAGAGTTTTTTTGGTGGTATCTGTTACTGAGAGCCCAGGTAGAATTTCTTCTGTAGAGGAGGCTGCTTTTGTGTGCTGCCGCTCTTTGGAGTAATATTAGGAAGACCACTGCAGTCAAGTGTGAGAGTCTCTTTCGTGTAGGTGTTTAAAAATTGGACAACTCTAATGTTCTTGCATTTCTCCACATGTAATAAAAAAATGTTAGGGAAAAAAGACTTTATAGATACTATAAGAAAATTCACCTTTTATGTATCTTTAATTATTGGGTAAAATTCATGAGACTTGGCATATAATTAAATTCACAGTTAGCATGTTGTAATAAAATTGTCTGTATTTTAATGCACTTTAATCATCCCATCCATTTATCTTAGGCAAATTTTGGGGTTTGTGCATGTATTTAGGTTTCATGCCTTATCTAATACAGAAAAAAAATGATGAGGAGGCTGAAGTATTTGGTTTTTCAGTTTGAATCAAAACTTGTCATGTGACTTGTAAGACCTCTCTTCAAAAATAAGAACAGCGACCCAGAGGACACTGGAGTTAATCTGGACAGTTTGGGTAGAATGCTACACATTCTAACCATCTTGAATTAGTTGAGTTATTAAAAATATGTACAATTTTAATCACAAACTGTTTTCCTACCTGCTCAGCCTACTTTGAGGCCAACCCTCATGAGTCTGGGGTTGTGCCAGTGACTCACACTACCACAATACTAAATGATTTGTTTTTAATTATTTGGGCCAGAAATCTCTCAAAATAGCTCATACTTTTGCCTCCTTAATGAAAGTGAATACTCCTTTCCCAGTGTACTCTGCCATGACTGTGCATGCCCTTAAGCAGCTGTATTTGTAGGTCGGGTTTTTGTGACTTTTCGGAATTTTCTTTTTCTCTTAGTTATCACTTGTCAGCCTTGTCAGTGATGTCAGCCTGCTTCCTAGAAGAATTCCCTCTCTCTCTTTGAATTTGTTCATATTTGGGGGGGGGGGGTTATTATAGAATCCAAGTAATTCTCTAAAGAAGATAAAATATCTATAGAAGGACCTCAAGGTGTTCTGTTGTGAATGAAGTCTTGATCTTCCTTAGAGTCAGTATTGACGTGTGCACACCCCTGTCCCAGTCGATGAAAACACTTGTAGCCCGTAGTATTGATAGCAGATTAGGTGAAAAATCTTGCACATTTAATAAATGACAGTCACTAAGTCTTCTTAATAGGCTTAAAGTTGTTGGTTTATGTATTTGTACTTCTGTTTATATTATCCTCTGCCTAGACTGTGCTCATCAAAATCCTGCTGGCTATTCTCAGCCCAGCCTTCACTCTGGACTCCCTGTGGCTACTGATTACCCTGCACTCGTGTTGCTGTTTTCCTCCAACTTTCTACCTTCTTGTGGCACTACCTGAATTGTCCTTGTTTTCCCATAGTAGCTAATGTTGCAAGATTCAGTGTTGTGCTAGGTAGTGTTGAAATGTGAGGACTAAGAATATATTACATCCACATCTTGGCAAT